AGAGCCCAGTTTTAGAGAGCAGAACAGAGAGCCATATCTAGAGACGGAAGACCGTGATAGAGCCCAGTTTTAGAGGCAGAACAGAGAGCAGATCTAGAGACGGAAGAACCGTGATAGAGCCCAGTTTTAGAGAGCAGAGCAGAGAGCAGATCTTGAGACGGAAGAACGTGATAGAGCCCAGTTTTAGAGAGCTGAACAGAGAGCAGATCTTGAGACGGAAGAACGAGTAGACCCCAGTTTTAGAGAGCGAACAGAGAGCAGATCTTGAGACGGAAGACCGTGATAGAGCCCAGTTTTAGAGAGCAGAACAGAGAGCAGATCTTGAGACGGAAGAACGTGATAGAGCCCAGTTTTAGAGAGCAGAACAGAGAGCAGATCTTGAGACGGAAGACCGTGATAGAGCCCAGTTTTAGAGAGCAGAACAGAGAGCAGATCTAGAGACGGAAGACCGTGATAGAGCCCAGTTTTAGAGAGTAGAACAGAGAGCAGATCTTGAGACGGAAGAACGTGATAGAGCCCAGTTTTAGAGAGCTGAACAGAGAGCAGATCTTGAGACGGAAGAACGAGATAGAGCCCAGTTTTAGAGAGCTGAACAGAGAGCAGATCTTGAGACGGAAGAACGTGATAGAGCCCAGTTTTAGAGAGCTGAAAAGAGAGCAGATCTTGAGACGGAAGAACGAGATAGAGCCCAATTTTAGAGAGCTGAACAGAAAGCAGATCTTGAGCTTGCAGAGTAATATTAAACGGTAGATTAGAGCACTTAGGTGCTGTCTTTGCTGCGCAGAAAGTTCCTGGTTAGTGGTGTCCCGTAGCTGGGTTGGTGGCGCATTCGGCTCACTTATTGAGGTCCGTGGTTCGATCTTCTGTACGGGTGGAAACAGGACGTGTTTCCTTAAGACATCTGCTGTCCATGTTCACCTAGCAGTATATAGGTACTTGGGTGTTAGTCGACTGGTGTGGGTCGCATCCCGGAGACAAAATTAACCAAATTTGCTCTAAATGCTCTGTATAACGAGGGACTTTCTATATAGTAAGTCACTCATGTCAGCTGATCTGTATATGATGTACATGTGCTTATAGAAATAAAGATTATTATTATTACAATTATTATTATTATTCACCACTTAAATGGTAGAGTACTAATCGCACAACCGAAAGTGCCCGAGTTTGATTCCCAGGCAGGGCGAGACGTGTACATCGGCACGTCTCCCACAGTGCCCATGTTCACCTAGCAGTAAATAGGTACTTGGGTGTTAGTCGACTGGTGTGGGTCGCATCCCGGAGACAAAATTAACCAGGGTGGAGAGTAAGTTCATTCACTCTCTCATTATATATAGTTTTATCACATCTATTGTTACCAGCAGTTACACTCCCTCTCTTGCTGCAGTAAGGTCCCACCACCCTGCCCACCACCCTGCCCACCACCCTGCCCACCACCCTGCCCACCACCCTGCCCATCACCCTGCCCCCATCCAACATATGTTATAATTAACATTAACCATTTACAATAAACTCTCATCTCCTCCTTGGTATTCCAAAGCTCAAACTAATTATCATTTAGAAAACTCTGTCCTAGACAAATCATTCACTGGAAATCCCCGGAAATTAATTCTTAAAGTAATCTGAGAATCTGCTCTCCAAGTTATAAGCACTGGCAAGCCCTCCCTCCGACTCTGGGTAGTTTTAAACTATTTCGCTTAAATCCCTGAATTCAGGACTTGGGCGCCTGGATCCTCTCAGATGTATTCCACTGCGTTGCTTCCTCTTATCCAAACCCATGGTTCTCTTAAACCCCATGTATCCCAACTTCAGTAATCCCATCTCGTGATACATTTGCTTAGGTAACCAGAGTGGTGTACGAGCACGGTGATGTGTAGTGGAGGTGTCAGTGAGGGGAGCACGGTGATGTGTAGTGGAGGTGTCAGTGAGGGGAACACGGTGATGTGTAGTGGAGGTGTCAGTGAGGGAAACACGGTGATGTGTAGTGGAGGTGTCAGTGAGGGGAGCACGGTGATGTGTAGTGGAGGTGTCAGTGAGGGGAGCACGGTGATGTGTAGTGGAGGTGTCAGTGAGGGGAACACAGTGATGTGTAGTGGAGGTGTCAGTGAGGGGAGCACGGTGATGTGTAGTGGAGGTGTCAGTGAGGGGAGCACGGTGATGTGTAGGGAGGTGTCAGTGAGGGGAGCACGGTGATGTGTAGTGGAGGTGTCAGTGAGGGGAACACGGTGATGTGTAGTGGAGGTGTCAGTGAGGGGAGCACGGTAATGTGTAGTGGTGTCAGTGAGGGGAACACGGTGATGTGTAGTGGAGGTGTCAGTGAGGGGAGCACGGTGATGTGTAGTGGAGGTGTCAGTGAGAGGAGCACGGTGATGTGTAGTGGACGTGTCAGTGAGGGGAGCACGGTGATGTGTAGTGGAGGTGTCAGTGAGGGGAGCACGGTGATGTGTAGTGGAGGTGTCAGTGAGGGGAGCACGGTGATGTGTAGTGGAGGTGTCAGTGAGGGAAACACGGTGATGTGTAGTGGAGGTGTCAGTGAGAGGAGCACGGTGATGTGTAGTGGAGGTGTCAGTGAGGGGAGCACGGTGATGTGTTAGTGGAGGTGTCAGTGAGGGAAACACGGTGATGTGTAGTGGAGGTGTCAGTGAGGGAAACACGGTGATGTGTAGTGGAGGTGTCAGTGAGAGGAGCACGGTGATGTGTAGTGGACGTGTCAGTGAGGGGAACAGTGATGTGTAGTGGAGGTGTCAGTGAGGGGAACAGTCATGTGTAGTGGAGGTGTCAGTGAGGGGAACAGTGATGTAATCTTAAGTTTCTCAGTGCATAACAAAACTGTTCTACTCACCCAGTGAATGATATGTAATATATATATATATATATATATATATATATATATATATATATATATATATATATAAATATATATATATATATATATATATATATATATATATATATATATATATATATATATATATATATTTTTTTTTCAACAAGTCGGGCCGTCTCCCACCGAGGCAGGGTGACCCAAAAAAGAAAGAAAACAATTTTCTTCTTATTCTTTTTAGTAATCTTTACAGGAAAAGGGGTTACTAGCCCATTGTTCCCGGCATTTTAGTTGACTTTTACAACACGCATGGCTTACGGAGGAAAGATTCTTATTCCACTTCCCCATGGATATAAAAGTGAAAAGTAATAAGACCAAGAACTATTAAGATAAAATCAAAGAAAACTCAGATGAGTGTGTATAAATAAATGTGTACATGTATGTGTAGTGTGACCTAAGTGTAAGTAGAAGTAGCAAGACATGCCTGTAATCTTGCATATATATATATATATATATATATATATATATATATATATATATATATATATATATATAATATATATATATATATATATATATATATATAGATAGATACCAGGTGTTGCACATGTGTTTCATTGATCAACTTGTCGGTTCTCTGAACCATTTATCTAGAAACCCACGTTTAGCTCTCTTACTGCAAGTTAAACGACTCTGCACTACGATCTGTGAAACTGGAATTACTCTCACTTTCCCTGGATTAAACCTGACCATTCCCACCCCGCTTCCATTAGCCAGGCACTCTATGTTCCTTATGGGTTTAGCGTTTTCCCCCATAAATGTGTCCTCCGTCAAACTGTCATCTGGGAGATCATGGTGTTCAGTTCCAGACAGGAGGATCGAACCTCCAACATTTAACAAATGTTATGCATATGATCCCGACAGAGCCGAGTGGAGAGAGTCGCGACTCGCGTCACACCAGTCACGGGTTCGATTCCCAATCCTTAAGAAATAATAAGGCAAAGAGGAATGCAACCCACAGTGGGAATCGAGGCTTACAGCACACCAGTCCTGGGTTCGATTCCCGACTTAAAAAAAAAAACAGCAATACGAGAATGAGGAACACAACGCACATTGGGCAGCTACTGAGAAGATTGTGTGGGTAAGTTTATTACGACGTTTCGGTCCGATTTGGGCCATTTACAAGTCAGACCGAAATGTCGTCGTAAGCTTCTCTGTGTTACGGTGTCCCGTAGCTCGTTCGGTAGCGCACTCAGCTCACACACTGAAGTCCGGGGATCGATCCCCGGTACGGCTGGAAAACATTAGGGCGTGTTTCTTTAAGACACTTGCTGTCCATGTTCGCCCAGCAGTTAAATAGGTACCTGGGTGTTAGTTGACTGGTGTGGGTCGCATCCTGGGACAAAATCGACCTAATTTGCCCGAAATGCAAAGGACTTTCTATATAGTAGTATGTCATTGGTGTCAGCTATGGTCTGTATACGTTGTATCGTGTACTTGTAGAAATAAAAATATTTTATTGAATTTAATTTCATGTGTGCGTTGTGTACACATAATTATGTACAGTTATCATGTAGGGTAAATTACCCAGGATAAACCAAAAAAAAAAAAAGAGTCAAAGTGAATTATTTCCGTTGATGTTCATGAATTTGTAACTTATTGGAAAGAACTCTAGGGAAGAGACGGTGTCCCGTGGCCTGGTAGACAACGCTCTCGCCTCACACACTGAGTGTCCGTGGTTCAGTCCCCGACCAGGTGAAAACACTGGGCGTGTTTCCTTACACCTGCTGTCCCCGTTCACCTAGCAAGCAAGTAGGTACCTGAGTGTTAGTCGAATGGTGTGGGTGGCATCCTGGAGGACGAGGTTGAAGGACCCCAGTGGAAATAAGATAGGTATTAGGTTAAAACAGGAAAAGTGTTTCCTGAATCGGGTCTTAGTCTTATGATGACCTGCAGTTGGAGCTTTTGATCATCTGACCGAGGCCTTCCGCTGGCTTACCCTTCCACCCCTTTAAAAAATATGGTTAATATTAAAATCGTTAGATTAATAACATTTATGTTATAAAATAAGACTGACAGTCCTCAAGGACGCACTGACTTTCCTGGGTTATCCAGAGTGACTAACCCTCCGGGGTTAAAAATCCCGAACCTAATCTTTGCACTGTGTGGGACCCACCTCCTCTTTGAGTGCTGGTCGCACGGTGTGGGCCAGTTTAGTCAGGTTTCTGGCGTGCTCCAGGTCCATCTGCGCCCTCTTCTCTATGTACGTCATCACGTCCTTGGAGTACTTGCTCCACACCTTGGCTCGGTGCAGTGCGTACTCCACACCTGTCGTGCGTAACATGTGTGTACGCATTAGTGGCAAGGCAGCGTTATGTAGCGCTTGGCTACGAATATGTGAAAATACTACATCGAAAAAAATTAGTAAACTGTTTATTGCATAAACAGGTGTTTACAAGAGACAGGTGTTTACATTACAGAAACAAGTGTTTAAACTACAGAAACAAGTGTTTAGATTACTGAAACGGGTGTTTACACGACAAAGGGGGTGTTTACACTACAAAAACAGGTGTTTACACAACAGGTGTTTACACAACAGGTGTTTACTCATCAAGAACAAATGTTACACAATAAATAGGTGTCTACAGGAAACATGTGTTTGCACAACAGAAATAGGTCGATCAACAGAGGCAGGTGTTTACACAACAAAAAGACACGTGTTTACTGAACAAAAAACGGATGTCAACAGAGTAGAAACAGGTTAAGACAACAGAAACAGGTACAAACGGAACAGAAACAGGCACTAACAGAAACAAGCATCAACAGAAGTGAAACGGAGGTTCAACCCAATCGAAACAGGCGTTAATCTGTTAGTAAAAACCTGTTATAGGTATCAGTATGCACATCTGGTTGACTGATTAGGTTTGAAGCCTAGCGACTGCACGGTTGCATGTCACCTGTACACGCACCTTTCGGTGTATATACGTTGAGAAACACATGCATCAATGTATATACGCTGAGAAACATGTGCCTCAGGGTATATACGCTGATAAATATATGCATCAGTGTATATACGCTGAGAAATGTATTCATCAGTGTATATACGCTGAGGAATGTATGCATCAGCGTATATACGCTGAGAAACACACACACCTCTCGGTGTATATACGCTCAAAACGCACCTCTCAGTGATATACACTCAGAAACACACCTCTTAGTGTATATACGCTCAGAAACACACCTCTCAATGTATATACGCTTAGAAACACACCTCTCAGTGTATATACACTCAGAAACACACCTTTCAGTGATGTACACTCAGGAACACACCTCTCAGTGTATATACGCTGAGAAACACACCTCTCAGTGTATATACACTTAGAAACACACCTCCCAGTGTATATACACTCAGAAACACACTCTCAGGGTATATACGCTCAGAAACACACCTCTCAGTGTATATACACTCAGAAACACACCTCGCAGTGTATATACACTCAGAAACACACCTTTCAGTTCTGTACACTCATGAACACACCTCTCAATGTATATACGCTGAGAAACACACCTCTCAGTGTATATACACTCAGAAACACACCTATCAGTGTATATACACTTAGAAACACACCTCCCAGTGTATATACACTCAGAAACACACTCTCAGGGTATATACGCTCAGAAACACACCTCTCAGTGTATATACACTAAGAAACACACCTCTCAGTGTATATACACTCAGAAACACACCTCTCAATGTATATACACTCAGAAACACACCTCTCAGGGTATATGCAGTGAGAAACTCATCTCTGAGTGTATGAATGGCACTGTTCAATACCGTTCACTCACAAGACGAGTGGCACTGTCCAACACTGTCTTTGTTCCCTGGTGTTCACTCACGGGAGGGGGAGGTACTGCCCAGCCAAACCTAACCCGACACATCTTAACCGAGCTTAACGTAACCTAAACGTATCGACGTGAGACTAGGTTGGTGAATAACCTTGTTCATGGCGGTGCAAGTGTTCATCAATTTGCTGGGGTGTAAGAACTTCAGGCTCCTTGAGTGCAGTGTCCACACAGCCTCCAGCACCCACGCCAGCAAGGCCTCGCTCTCCTGTCGTGCTCTCAGCGTCACTGCTTACCAGGTTCTCACAAGACTGTAAAGGAAATAAATATATTAGTTAACTGAGTGCGTTTAAAGTCTGTCTGTTAGAAGTACTGGCTAAGTTCCCACAAGACTGTAAAAGAAATAGATATATTAGTTGACTGAGTGCGTTTAAAGTCATCGGTAAGGGAGACCTTGGGTATTTTTTCGAAGCAAAGGAGGAAAAAGGGGAACAGCAACGTCCAACTTTTTTTTGGGCTCTCACCCACCTGTCGGGAACCAAACAGCCCCCAAAAACACAGCAATACCACACAGTAAAGCAGGACAGTTGCCTCTGGGAAAAAAAAATACCTATAGAATTTAAGGGATTGGTTGCGGGCTTTAGTTTTGGTGGTGTGTGTGGTTGTGTTGTGTGTGGTGGGGTGGGTGTGTGTGTGTTTTGTGGTTGTGTGTGGGTGTGGTGTGTTTGGTGTGTGGCTCCCCTCATGTTAGCTGTATATTCCCTCATCCCCAAAAAAGCCTCGTAGGAGGAAACGTTGCCCAAAAAAGCCCCCTCTGCCACTGTTATTGCCACCGGGCCTGGAACTTTGCCCCTTTGTAAACAAACTAAACATACCAACCCCAAATCTAGGGGGGAAAAACAATTAGTCGGGGCCAAACCCTCAACCCTTTCCCCTTCTCCTCTCTCTCAAAAACTTTCCAAAAGGGCAGGTGGTTCAATCCCCGTTTCAACACGCGCCTGATGCAGATTCAATTTCTCTCTGCACTTTTGACAACCTTTGAAATATTAAAATGTTAAACACCGGAGCTATACTTGTGTGGGGTTGTTGTGTTGTTGTAAAAAAGGTCGTTTTAGAACACAAATTAAACCCCAATATTTATGTAATTTAGCACAAAACATAATCCTTCGGGGGGTATCTTTTTTGTGAGGGTTGTTTTTTGGTCCGGGTTTTAAACGTAAAGTTGCTTTTTTTTCCCCGGGGGTTAAAAAAATTTGGGGCTTACACATCCGGGTTTTAAAGTGTGTTTCGTTCGTAAGTGAACTTTTAACTGTTTTCACAGTCATCTGCGGTTTTGTTGTAAGTGTCTTGTTGGGAGGTGTCCCAAAGGGATGAGGGTTGGGGGGGGGGATTTTCCCCCGGGGAATGAGGTTTGGGGGGGTTTGGGGGTCCCCCAGGGGGGAGGTTTGGGGTTTTGGGGGTTTTTCCCGGGGAAATGAGGGTTGGGGGGGTTGGGGGGTTCCCCCCGGGGGGGGTTTGAGGGTTTGGGGTTGGGGGGTTCCGGGGGTTTATTTTGGGGTTGGGAGGTGCCCCCGGGGGGGATGTGGTTGAGGTTTTGAGGTGCCCCGGGGGAAGTGAGGGTTGGGGTTGGGAAGGTACCGGGGGGTGATGGTTGGTGTTGAGAATTGTCCCGGGGGGTGTGTTTTGTTGGGAGGTGTCCCGGGGGATGGGGTTGGTTTTGGGGAATGCCCCGGGGGGGAGGGTTGGTGTTGGGAGGTGCCCAGGGGGATGATGGTTGGGGGTTGGGGGGTGTCCCAAGGGGGATATGGTTAAATTTTAGGAGGTGTCCCGGGGGGAGATGGTTGGGGTTAGGTGTCCCAGGGGGAGATTGTTGGGGTTGGGATGCCCGGGGGGGGAAAAAGAGGGTTGGGGGTGGGAGGTGTCCCGGGGGGGATGATGTTTGGGGTTGGGAGGTGCCTAGGGAAATAGGGTTTGGGGTTGGAGATGTCCCGGGGTTTGGTTTGGGGGTTGTGAGGTGTCCCAGGGGGATGAGGGGTTTGGGGTTGGGAGGTGCCCAGGGGGAGATGGGTGGGGGTTGGGGAGGTGTCCCGGGGGAGGGGGGGTTGGGAGGTTTTTCCAGGGGGGATATTGGGGTTGGAGGTACCCCCCGGGGGGAGGGGGATGTTGGGTTGGGAAGTTCCCGGGGGGAGATGTTTGGGTTAGAAGGTGCCTAGGGAGATGGGTGGGGGGGTTGGGAGATGCCCCAGGGATGATGGGGGGGTTGGGGGGTGCCCGGGGGATGATGGTTGGGGTTGGGAGGTGTCCCAGGGGGATGAGGGTTGGGGTTGGGGGGTTTCCCCAGGGGGATATGGTTAGGGTTGGGGGGTTTTCCCGGGGGGATGATTTTTGGGGGTTGGGAGGTGTTTCCGGGGGTTGATAGTTGGGGTTGGGAGGGTGTCCCAGGGGTTGTAGTTGGGGTCGGGGGTGTTCCAGGGGGTGATGGGGGGGTTTGGGAGGTTTTTCCCGGGGGGGGTTTATATTTTGGAGTTGGGAGGTGCCCGGGGGGATGATGGTTGGTTTTGGGAGGTGCCCCCCAGGGGGTTTGATGGTTGGGTTGGGGGTGCCCCGGGGGATATGGTGGTGTTGGGAGGTTACCGGGGGGGTGGTTGGGGTTGAAGGTGTCCCAGGGGGATGAGGTTGGTGTTGGGGGTTGTCCCGGGGGGATAGGGTTGGTTTTGGGGGAGGTGTCCTGGGGGGATAGGGTTTGGGGGTTGGGAGGTGTCCAGGGGGAAAAAGGGTTTGGGGGTTGGGAGGTGCCCAGGGGGAGAGGGGTTGGGGTTGGGGGGTGTCCCAGGGGGATAGGGGGGGGTTGGGGAGGTTTTCCCGGGGGGAGATGGTTGGGGTTTTGGGAGGGTTCCGGGGGGTGATAGTTGGATTTGGGGAGGTGTCCCAGGGGGATGAGGGTTTGGTGTTGGGGAGGTGTCCCAGGGGGATATGGTTGGTGTTGGCAGGTGTCCCGGGGGGGTGAGGTTTGGGTTTTTTGGGGGTGTACCAGGGGGGGGATGAGGGTTAGGGTTGAGAGGTGTTCCAGGGGGTGAGGGTTTGGGGTTTGGAGGGTTCCAGGGGGTATTTTGGGATTTGGGAGGGTCCCAGGGGGGTGATGGTTGGGTTTTGGGGAGGTGCCCAGGGGGATGAAGGTTGTGTTGGGGGTGTCCCAGGGGGTGATGGTTGGTGGGGAGGTGTACCGGGGGTGTGTTTGGGGTTGAGAGGTGTCCCAAGGGGGATGAGGGGTGTTGGGAGGGCCCCCGGGGGTTTGGGTTGGGTGTTGGGATTTTCCCCGGGGGGATGATTTTGGGAGGTGTCCCAGGGGGTTAGGTTGGGGGGTTGGAGGTGTCCAGGGGAGAGGTTGGGGTTGGGGGTGCCCAGGGGGATGATGGTTGGGGGGGGTGTTCAGAGGGATGAGGGTTTTGAGGTTGGGGGGTTTTTCCAGGGGGATGTTAGTTGGATTTGGGGGGGTGCCCCAGGGGTGAGGGTTTGGTGGGGGGAGGTGTCCCAGGGGGATGATGGTTGGTGTTGGCGGTGCCCCAGGGGATAGGGTTTGGGTTTTTTGGGGGTTACCAGGGGGATATGGTTAGGGTTGAGAGGTGTCCCAAGGGTGATTTGGGGTGGGAGGTTTCCAGGGGGGTGAGGTTGGGGGTTGGGAGGTGTTCCAGGGGGATGATATTTTGGAGTTGGGGGGTTTTTACCGGGGGAGAGGTTTGGGGGGTGAGAGGTTCCCAGGGGATGATGGTTGGGTTGGGGGGCCCAGGGGGATGAATGTTGGGGTTGGGGATGTGTCCCAAGGGGATTAGGGTTTGGGGGGTTGGGAGGTGTCCCGGGGGGGATGATGGGGGGGTTTGGGGAGGTGTCCCCAAGGGATGATGGTTGGGGTTGGGAGGTGTTCCGGGGGGATGATGTTGGATTGGAGGTTTCCGGGGGGATGAAGGGTTGGGGGTTTGGGGAGGTGTTCCAGGGGGATAAAGGTTGGGTTGGACGTGTTCCCGGGGGGATGAATTTGGGGGGTTGGGAGGTGTTTAGAGAGGAAAAGGGTTTGGGGGTTGGGAGGTTTTCCGGGGGATGATGGGTTTGGGGGGTTTCCCCAGGGGGATGATATTTGGGGGTTGGGAGGTGTTCCAGGGGGATGTTTTTGGGGGGGGGAGGTGCCCCAAAGGGGGGAGATGGTTGAAATTGGGAGGTGCCCCGGGGGATGATGGTTGGGGTTTGGGAGGGTCCCGGGGGGAAATGATGGTGAGTTGGGGGTTCCCGGGGGGGATGATATTGGGGGATGGGGGTGTTCCAGGGGGATGAGGTTTGGGGGTTGGGAGGGCCCCGGGGGGGGATGATGGTTGGGGTTGGGGGTGTTTCCGGGGGGGGATGATGGTTGGGGTTGGGAGTGTCCCGGGGTGATGTTGGGGTTGGGGGGGTGTCCCGGGGGGGGAGAAAGTTGGGGGTTTGGGGAGGTGTTCCAGGGGGATATAGTTGGGGTTGGGGGGTTCCCAGGGGGAGTAGTTGGGGTTGGGGGGTGTTCCGGGGGGAGAGGGTTTGGGGGTTTGGGATGTTCCCAGGGGGATGATAGTTGGGGTTTGGGGGGATTCCCATGGGGGATGGGGGTTGGAGTTGGAGGTGTCCCGGGGATATGTAGTGGGGTTGGGAGGTGCCCCCAGGGGGGTAGTTTGGGGTTGGGAGGGTTCCCAGGGGGATGAGGGTTGGGGTTGGGTTGTCCCGGGGGGAAAGTTGGGGGTTGGGGGGGTGTCCCCGGGGGGATGGGTTGGAGTTGGGAGGTTTCCCAGGGTATGAATTGGGGTTGGGATGTGTCCCAGGGGGATGATAGTTGGGGTTGGGAGGTGTCCCAGGGGGATGATGGTTGGAGTTGGGAGGTGTCCCAGGGATATGATAGTTGGGGTTGGGAGGTGTCCCAGGGGGATGATAGTTGGGGTTGGGAGGTGTTCCAGGGGGATGAGGTTGGGGTTTGGGATTTTTCCCAGGGATGATATTTGGGGGTTTGGGGGAGGTGCCCCATGGGATATGGTTGGAGTTGGGGGGGTGTCCCAGGGTATGAAGTTTGGGGTTGGGAGGTGCCCAGGGGGATAGTTGGGGTTGGGGATTTGTCCCGGGGGGATGAGGTTGGAGTTGGGAGGTTTTCCGGGGGATGATGGTTGGGTTGGGGGGTTTCCCAGGGATATAAATTGGGAGTTGGGGGGTGTTTCCATGGGGATATTTGGATTGGGAGGTGTTCCAGGGGGAGATAGTTGGATTGGGAGTGTCCAGGGGGATGAGGTTGGGGTTGGGAGGT